CTGTCTCTCGACTTATTACTTTCTTAATAAGTACAGATTCATTTAACGTGCAGTCTGGCGTCACATCTGAGATGGGCGGTGGGACATTAAAGACACTGGCTCCGAAGGTAACGAATATATGCAACTATTTTCGCATTTGCTGTACAGTGTATTCTGAATATTAGGTAAAAAGTGCCGTGCTGACAGGAGGACGGTTGTAATCGTCTTGACGAGGAAGGGATTGGTGGTATACGCATTTCGTCATGAATTGAACTTGGTCCATATTCTAACATGATGGAAACTTCGTTGCGTTTATGCAGTGGTTTACTAGTGGAGTGTAATCAGACCTTAAATGCGGACAGTTTTAATGGAACAACAGAAAAAATCCCAACGCACGGAAAAACGGGTTTCAACTTATACACTTTTTGTGTCTCAGGTGTACTCAACGGTTTGATTTGCACCGTTTCATTTTCAACATTTTGTCGTTTTTAGTATTCAAAAAAGGAAAAACACAAACATCAAATGCATATTTGTTGTCATGGGTTGCAGTCACGGACAATATTCTTCTCCTTACCTCGGCCATCATGACTGTTCTGCCAGCTTTCCATGTATATTACGGATGGTTGGAATGGTACTTTACTTACAGTCAGAAATATACCAAGTTCGTTTTCCCAATATATCGCAGTGCAAGGCAAATGTCCCTGTATTTTCTTATCATGGTGGCTTATGACAGATATTTTGCTTTAGCCAAGCCTATTAAAAGCATGAAGACCCGTTCTGTGTCAAAGTGGAGGTGCCGATCACACGTAATGATAGTAGGGGTTTTATTATACAGCATTCCAAAGTTCTTTGATCATGAATTTGTAGGTTATGCGCCTTGTCCAACTCATTCGGATGGTATTTGTCAAAAGACTGAAATCAAGAACTGGGGAAATGTTTATAAAGTGATGTGCCGAATAATACCCACGGTAGTTCTGGAACTTTTTGGACCAGCTGTGATCAACACAACGCTGTACGTTAAAATTCGGGCAGCTGTGAGGAAAAACGAGGAATCTCGCTCCAAAATGATTCTGCGGTCGCGAAACAATCAATCGAATAAACTTACAAAGGTCATCACCACTCTTCTGGTATTTTACTTGCTGTCTGTAATACCTCTGTCTATTTATTTCCCATTATATTTTTTGCGAGACCAGATTGCAGATTTCGGGTTCCATTATGCCCTGGATGCCATGACGGCACCAATGCTGTGTTTAAGTGCTATGAACGCAGCAGTCAACTTTTTTGTCTACGGAATCGTAGGTTCAGCCTTTAGACGCGACATGAGGGATCTTTTATGTCTTAAATAAGGCCATGGGTTTTTGCAGTATTATATCAGCATACAATTTCTGAGAGAAACGAAACATTTTTTGATAATTGCAGGCTAAGATTTCCTTTGAAATAAGAAGTTTAAGGAGAGTAAGCAGAAATGTGAGTAGCTTGCAGATTTATGCTTAATAAAATTATATATATATATATATATATATATATATATATATATATATATATATATATCATGATTTAATGTCCTAATAAAATGCTGATACCGAAAAGTAGCGTTGATGCAATAGAAACTCTACCTTTAAGTTTTATTCACGGAAAAATTCAGATCATACTCTTAAGATTTACGAAGACAGAAAAAGGGTGACGAAGGGTAAACCCACTATATGACAAATACTGTATAGCTAGTTTTTCTTGTTCTGAAACAATACGCACTGGCGCATGTGATGTAAGTGCTTGTATCACCCCTTTTTATTGTCATTTTGTGAGTGTGGGTGTTTTTGAAATATTAGTCTTTATAAAGTGACAACTATGCCAATTTTGCATAAAGAGGGGTACCTGACCTGAGGCATCTACTTGCGTAAGGTATCTTTTATTTTACATTAGCAAAGCAAAATACAGGGTATTCTAAGAATGACTACTGATTTCGAGAAACATATGATACTACAATTCAGTTAGATATGCATTCTATCTATTTTATCCATTGACACTGTTCGGTCGAAAGGTCAAATATATAAATAAGTGGTGTATACGTCAACGTAAACCAGGAAAATGTTATTGATTATATAAGTTATAACTCCTTCAAGCACCACAATGAGAGACTGTCGTATTCCAATAAATGTCTATTTGCTTTTTAGCCACTTTCATATGGCTATTTATAAGCCACGAAGTGTAAATGTTAATTTAGGCACGGTGTTTAGAACTCAGAAAGTTTTTTTTTTTTTTTTTTTTTTTTTTTGCAATTTACTTAATAGTGTACACGTTAGCACATATATTTTCAAGAAAATTATAATTCTCGTTTTGTAATGGCGTGGCCGTCAAAAGTAATGTTTAAATTGTTTATCTTAGGAATTTTTTCAGCGTTAAGTTCACTGCTTCTCCATTTTCATGCAGTAATCTGCACTTAATATACCTTAATGGTTGCGTAATAAATATTTCCCTTGTATTTCATTCATAGAAAAATGAAAGTTACATTAATACAATATCCATTATATTACATTTACTGCATAATCTCTCAAGAGATTATTACGAAGATAAACCCATCTATAAAGGTCCACTTGGTCTTATGGCAAGCACAGATTCCAGATTTTTTTTTTTTCGTCCTGTGAGTTGGCATGGGATGTAGTATTCCTTGCAATGAAATAAGCGTTTCTCTTTCGCCTTCTGACATACATGAAGATGTAATTTTGGTAACGATTAAATGTTTGGATTATAATACATTATATTATGGCGTCGATTAAAATTAAGACAAATGATGCTTGGTGTCATCTATGTGAATAAGTAAATGGCATGAGCGAAGGTAGGGTATATATAGTGTTGTAACGATGTCAATAGTGTGTCCTCCACAAGAATAAATATATAAACTTGTGATTTCTTCTGGAAGATACAAGTTTGAGGATCAACAGTTGTTTACATTTTTGTTTCCAGCAATGTGAAAGTTTAATGACAGCAAATCAAAATCTATAAGGTCAAAGGCCCCATCTTATTACATGTAGGCCTATCTGCCTGGGTAGATCTTTTTTTCAGAAAATCTACTCTCAAAAGACAAACAAGTTTAAGGGTCAATGTGACGTCGCATCGCTGAATATTGTCAAAACAAAAATAACTTCTTTCATACTAAGCACATATTTAAAATACTGCTGTGTTAGAATCAGATTTTGTCGAATGCCAAGGCAGGTGTGACAGGAATGGTAGGCCGCTAGGAGCCGTAGTCCGCTCCCCATTACTATGAACAGGCGACATTCCTCCCACATACTAACCCCAATATTGTGACTAACCCTAGCCTGTACAAATCACATGCATGGGACCCTGGGCTTCCATTTCTAGCACGAGTCAAGGGCAAACGATACTTCGTCATTTTTCTTATCAAATGGCTTGATATCGCTACGCATGGAGCACCAACGACGTCAAACCTGGCAGTAGGCGATATATTATGTAATTTTCCTGTCAGTCAGCTAGGGGACATGTTTTCAAATCTGTCAGTCAGCTAGGGGATCTGTTTTCAAATCTGTCAGTAAGCTAGGGGATATGTTTTCAGGCAAATTAACTGGCGAGAGCGTGGGTTTAAGCTGATCACAGGAGAGTAACATGCTGGTAACAATCTGCTAAGCTTCTTATCAGCCGGAAATCTATGATGACAGCAGAGATAAAAACCATTACTTAACGCGACTCCTGGAGTCTTGTTGGTTTATTATATATTACCATCGTCAAGTGGTAATATCGTGATCAGCGTGCGGTTTTATAAACTTGGAACGCAGAATACATTTTCCATTTAAAGTTAAGGTATACAAATTAAAACTCACGTATATTATTCAACAGAATTGAAACGTGTCTTCAATGCACTTCTATATATTTTAAAAACGAATATTAAATTAGGCCTATATATTAAAATAATCAAGTATGTATCCCATCCTTTTAAAACAAATATATTTTGCAGAGCTTAGCCTTGATGAATTTTATAAGAACATACTCGGTGGTCATGATAAGGCGCGCATCTAGTCGAAATCATTAAAAGTCAAAGTAATATTTGTATAACATATGAGTCAAATATTCACTTTTTTGAGGAATTGCCCAAAATAATTCTGATACCAATAAGTCAAACCTTTTTTGTACGTAAATCTTGTAGTAGGTCTGTAATCAAAGTCATTAAAAAATCTGACTCAAACTAGAACCCAAATTTTACATGTCATCAACATTATCCTCTATCAGGGTCACAGGTTGATTTTTCACTAGATACACACAGACATACAAAATGTGCCTATCGTTTTACAGTTAACAATGTCATGTCAAGATAAACATATTCTTAGAATATTATGACAGGTTTTCCGAAATGAATGCTGAAAGCTATTCGATGAGCATTTGTATATTTGAAAATACCTAAAGATGCTAGTTTTACCGTTGTGACTACACAGGGAGTCTTTACCTACAATAGCCATGATTTTTACTATGCCAACAAATCAATGATTTGTCAGCAAGAAGCCGTTTTTCCAAAACAAAATGCATGCACTAGTATATCGACAAAAATGTTCCTCAGAAATGTGAAAATAATCCATTATCCCTTAGGCATTGAAACAATTTGTTACGTTTGCTACATCCACATTAACTATGAACTCTACAAAGATATCAGAGAAGACCTTTTGAAGACCATTTTAATGCATTTAATGACACTGGTCATTAGGTTAATATTTCTCATGCAAAATGAACAGATACAATTTAAGACAGAAAAAAAGTACACGCAATGATGTGGAGAAGATGTAAATTTAATACAAAACGAGAGGGATTGAAAAGGTTTTACACCAAGTTTTATTCTTTATATGTTTAAATGATCAGTAAATAACTTAAAAAAAACTTTTATGAATTTTGATTTGTCTCTCACAGGTCATAGTCTCCCATAACACTTAGTAAAGTGGGTTTTATTTTTCAACGTGAGATGATAATAAAATCATTATTATTATCAGGCCTTATAAACGGATGAGGCGTTTACTTGCACCACCCGCAGATCTTTTAGCACTAACACCCATATTTACCACCTTACTCACAACTTAACCAGCACTACCAGAGTGGATGAGTGTTAGAGCTAAGTATCGTTACGTTGGTGCTAAATAATTGTACGGTGTGCTGGTTAATTCGTGGGTTTGGTTGTTAATATGGGCGTTTGTGCTAAAAGATCTGCAGGTAGAGCTAGTAAACGCCTATCCCGTTTATAAGCCTGATTATATATCTACACCTTGTGAACAGAGACTGGCAAGCGAGGTGAAACCTGAATGGAATCACTGTAGGGTATCTTCTGTCCCTCTGTCAAATTTCATTTCAGTACAATTAAACCATGTTTTGCGTGTCGCCTTGGTAACACTGCTTAAACGAAGTGACTGGTCCATGAGATTCCACCCATAGCGCCTAAAATATTACCATTAGCCACTTCGCGCGATTTCCCGCACTTTCTAAGAGCCGCTTTTCCTAAATTTCAGTAGCTCTCAATGAAGTTTGCACTTTTTTCCATTATTCAAGTACATTTTCTTCTTTAAATTCACAATTTAAAAGTTACAACCGAAACAAGATCAGATCCGGAATTTTCATAACCAAAAAATGAGACTTGGCCTAAAGCAGAATACAGCATGACCTCCGATTTATGAAAATGATGTAGGTCAGTCATTAACTTGTATTGCATCATCACTATTATTACGTTACAAGTAATAACGTCATCATTACGTCACGTCAAACAACAATTGCCAAGCTATAGCTTTGAGGAAAAGGCAGACTACAATTAAGTTCAAAGTTAATACACGCAAAGTCCGAATGTGACATCTAATTTAGTCCACTGGAGTGGCGAGTTCTGTCCGAATTTCGGTGACCAGGTTCTCTCTCGGAACCTCCCTCTGAAAAGCAAAAGTTTTTATTTTGTTAATTTTTAAATGAAATTAAAATGTACGAGTCTGATGTAAAACAAACACGATATATTGTTATATCTTGTGTCAATATAACGATCACATTTATAAACAAGTCCGATTTTTCTGATTTTCTTCAGACACTGTAGACATAAGAATTTAAACTCATCAAAATGTTCCTGTGTTTGCTTTTTGTTCTAAATGTGGTAATATTTCTGACCAGACCCTCACTGAGCCCCCAATATATCTACGGTGATTCTTATAAATTCTTGTTCTTGCCAAGAATATGTGTTTTTTCATCCAAACGAGGCTCATATATGCAGTGTAGATACAAGTTGCTTCCATTCAGTTTTGGGCACCAATACAATCAATAACCCTGACCTTAATTCTTGATGCCCAGAACCTGTTTCCTCTTACTTTGCGAAACTTCAATGCACACACACACACGCACACACACACACTAACCCTCACCTCCTTCCTCGTTTTGATATCTCTAAGTTTGACAACGCTCTGCTCAATTTCTGAAGTTCCAATCACCACCGCCAGGGGGATACTCATAGTCTCACAGTACTGGAACTGATCCAGAGGTTTCGGGTTCTTCTTGTACGAGTGCTCAGCCTTAAAACAAGCGTTCGTCAGTTTTAATGAGCAATTTTGTTAGTGTGTCTAAGTGCGTGTGAATAATGAGAGTTAAGCTGCAGTTAACCATATGATTGTAACAGATTGAAGGTTACTTAAACATATATAAATACGCACTGGTTTAAATTCTAGTGCATAAATAAGATAAAATTGGCCTCCACTACCTTCCATTTTAACTGTTTCATTATCCGAAAGAAAACCAAAAACACAAAACGTAGTTCCTTAAACATTACGAAAGCCTAAATTCTTTAAACAACACAAGTCAGTAGTAGCGAAATTACTCGGTATTTTATCAAGGTGTTTACGTCTGTCTGTCTGTCTGTCTGTCCTTGTCTTTGTAGAACCAACCTGAATTCATCGCACGTTTACATCGTACGGTGACTCTATCCTGATCCAAATACTCCAGCAATGTGCAACAGGCTCTGAAGAGCCCTTTAAAATTACTAGTACTCACCTTTATACCAGCGCCCCAAAGCAATGCACAAAGCTTCATGCGTTCTTCAACCAAGTCTTTCTGTGCCGAAATAACGTAAACCTCCGTTTCTGTGGTTCTGATTTTAGACCCAGCAAAAGCCTAAACATTGAAAAAAAAAATGTAAGATTCTAGAAGTGTATTTATAACCAAACAAAAACCGACGACAAAAAAGAAAGGGGAAAACAGAGAGAGAGAGAGAGAGAGAGAGAGGTATACTTTTACCTTCATCTCCATAATTGAGAAGATTCGTTCCACTCCAATACTGACACCTACGCAAGGAACAGGTTTTTCGTTAGGGTCAAACATGCCGACCAGGGTGTCGTACCTGCCCCCTCCGGACACGCTGCCCACGCTGACAGATTCCTCCTGGGACGCCGGATCATGGGTGTAACCTTGAAGAATTAAAGATGAAACCATGCAGAATAAAAGCTGAAACAATGCATCGTTTACCCCTGAATGACGCTAAGAAGTGCCAAATAAGGAATGAATGGATGTAAAATTCACAGAAATGTCTAAAATTGTTTGTCAGAAAAACACAAATAAACAAAAACCGATTTTTCTCTACGTGACCTCAAGGTCATGTCGGACAAATGGCACGGCATCTGCACGTAATATAAACGTGCTCGCCGAAGCGCATATCTAATTACGATTTAAAAAATTCATTACGTTCGAGGGGAATTACCAAAAAGAAAGACGCAGAACTGAAGAGAAAATTGGCCTCACCTTTGAGGACGGTTTCAAATATCGGCCCCGTGTAGTAGTCTAGTCCTCTTGCCAAACTTAGGTCAAACGACACCTGGTAAGTTTCGAGACAAAAAAAGTACTATAACCATTTTGTAAGCACTTTCTAGCGTACACGTCTGGGTCCTGTTTCACAAAAGATCTTAAAGCCAAAATTGGGTCTCAACTTTTAGCACAAATATGTAGTTTACTTTGACCTGATAAAAATCAGTGGTTGTCCAATTATATGAATATTGCGTCAGTTTCACAAAGAGAAAAACATGGCATGCGTGTTTCAGAACACCATTTACGCTGAATGAAGGACTCTTAAACGGTATTTAAATGACTAGAATAAAAGTAAAAATGTAATACATTAAAAAGGTTTCTCTTTTAACTCAAAAACCTCTAATCTCTCAAAATACATCCCTCCTTGCATTTTACGCCCTGCTTTCTCTACCTTGTCTGATATGCCGAATAATTCACAATACTTCAGCAGAAGAACCATATCCTCCAGGCCTTGTTTGGCCGTGGCATTACCGCACAACTTTTCATCTTCAAGAAGTTCTTCCACCAATTGTTTCCCACCTGGAACAGACAGACAAAAAAACCGTTGGTATAGTTGAAAGCAATGTTTGAATACAATAAAATTATTCATAAATTAAACATGAAAAACGGATGCTCTAAAACAATAGGTAAAACCTATACAAAGAAGGCGATGTAATTTGTAATTGATCGTTCTGTATATTCTTCAATCCAATATAAACTAAGTTACCACTGCGTCGCACGTAGTGGCCAATCATGTCAGCCGCAGAAGGGTCAAGACCTTTTTCTTTCACCATTTCAGTTTTGACATCTTCCCAAGGTACCTATAAATGTGTAAGTAGATATTGTGATATATAATAATAAATATTGATATTTTATGTCAGTTGAGGTTATAACAACTTTATCATGTGAAAGTTGCCGAGCACGTTAAATCAGAATCGTGGCAATTAAGTCTCTACTTTGCCAACTGATCATTTGCTAGGATGCCGTTCCATATCACGGTTCTTCAAATTTCTTCAACTGCTAGTCAATACAAAACGGGCAGTGTGAGTGGAGTGTGTGTGTGTGTGCGTGAGAGAGAGAGAGAGAGGTCAGTTTACCTTGTCCAGTTTATCAACAGCCGAAGAAATGGACCGCACCTTCTCTGCGGGCACCCCACACACCGCAAGTATGCCGTCAAGGATCTTCCGGTGGTTCACCTTCACCAACAAAATATTACTATAGAGAATCAAATATTTATACGTATAACGTGAAAATTCGTTTATTTATGCTAGTACCATTTACTTAGTGCCTCACAACATCTCAATTTATTGAGGAATATACTATATAGCGATACCTTGATCACGTATTCTCCAAGGCCCAAATCTTCCAATATTTCTGATACAATCTTGGCGCATTCTGCATCCGGAATCATCGGATCATACTGACCCGCCATATCGATGTCCTAAAATGAAATCCATGCAGAGGCATTTTTTCAGATCAAAGTTAATTATTATTGCGGTGATATCAAACAATTATTCAGCCATAAATGAAAATTATTTAACGCAATAGGCCCAAAAACTTTCATACCGTAAGCTAACGGTATGGAATTTTTTCGGCTTGTGTTTGATAATTTTCATTTATGATCCAACTGCCAAGCTAATGAACATTTTTGCTCAACTATTCAGCCATTTAGATTCAGTGGTTTTGAAGCAGGACACTTGACGTAGTTAATAAACCCGTCTAATTTAAGTCTATATATAAGCATTACAAATACCAAGGTCTGTGGCAGAAACTCACGCATTGATAAAACTCCCGGAATCTGCCCCTGGTCATTGCCGGGTTGTCTCGACGGTAAACCTTGGCAATGTGGTAACGGCGCATATTGGTGATCTTATTCATAGCTAGATACCTGGCAAACGGTACCTAATAGACCATTAAGTTTAAATACGTATACATGTATATTATCAATCCTTTTAATCAGGATGAGGGAGGCTGGTTTTGTGCATGGGTATCACTGTATGACGCACACGTTACTATACAGTGTTTATCAAATGGGAAAATAAGTTGTGCGATTAACAACAGTTTATACACGACATATCATATGGGGAGTGGCGAGAAAAGTTCGATAGATCAGGGCAGATTGATTTTAAGTGTAATTGAAAACATATGAAGTCTTTTGGATAAATGGTAATGGAAGGGCATCACAAATGTCAACAAAAAGCAAGTGAAATATTTCCCTCTAATTATTCGCCTACTTTCCTCTGATAATCAATACAAGGCTCACATATGCCATCGTGAGTTTGGATTTGGATTAAGAAAGGATACAGTCAGATCATATCTCAGGGACAGCTGTTCTCCGCCTTGGTCGGCAAGATCGAAAATCAGCTTGGAATCTTCTCCATACTTGCCTGTCAGAGTTTCCTAGACGAAGATCAAATTGTTTCAAGAATTACAACTTTGACATATCAAAGGAGAAAATATCGTTTGGAAACTATCAGCAAAAGGCTGGATGCTACGTCAAAAGGCTTTTGAAAAAATGTGGAATCTTATAACAGCATTGCAACTTATAGACATTATATAGGTTCCTAGTCATACAGTGCAGAAATAAACAAAATCAGCAACCAATACAGTATTTATTTAAGTCGCAACTTCCGCGTCCTTTGAACCACAAGAGGTTTTACATATTCATGAATCACCTTCAATTCCATGACAGGGGTATCTATGGTTTGTGCTCCGTGACGCTTGAAACACTCAACGATCGTCTTGAGCACGTGCTCTCGAACTGCCATCTGGCGGGGATCATAGTCCTTGGTACCCTAAGAAATTAATAAATGAGTATATGAAAAATTATTCCTTAACAGACAAATAATGATATTTAAAAAATTACGCATTAGTCAGTTTTCAAAGTTTAAAAGCTAAATTCCCTTTTTTTAAATTAAAATTCTTACCTTAGGGGTTTTAAGGACGAAGTTGGATTTGGGGGTTTCAGACACGTTATCCACTTCCTCCGCCATTTCCCGGAATCTGAAAGAAGAAGTAAATTAAACAAAATGAATAGCAAGAGCCAAGAATAGCAAAAGAGTCACCCCTTTTTCGAATGCAGCACCCAACAACTGAATAACTTACGAGATTTGATTGCGCTGGATAAATAGTTGGCAATATAGTGATAACACACTTTGAAATCACAACTACTGCATTTTATCGTAGACCACAACAGCGTATCCAAGATCACATTACACGGCAATCCTCTACAATCATACCATAGTGATATCAGACTACATGAACTAGCCCACCCTGTTACAAAATTACCATATCGCCTACTTAAAATTTGAATTTTTGTATGCTATTTTGGAAGCCCCTGATATCACAGAGCACGTTGACAATGGCCTTTTGTTGTTTTGGCTGAATGATAAACCAAACAATGCGGCCTCAGACGGTGCACAGGCCTACACGTCGCTATGGTAAAGTATCACTGAGATAGTAAAATTACTTCGTAGGCCTATCTGATTTTCACAAATATGAGACGCTCCTTTTTAACTTATCATGTAACATTCCAACACAATGATGCGGCGCACAGAATCTCTGGCTTTTCCACGTTCCATTCTAATCTATCCGTCCATTTATCAACATTCCCTTATATGGGTATGGTGTGATTTTTTTGCACTCTTACATAATATCTATTAATATTCATTTTCTATAACTCTCCATTTTGGCTATCAAACAAAGTGTTGTAATAATAGAAGTTGTGAACTAAGGTGAATTATCACACCATTACCTAATTAGACAAATTTCCACCACCTCATCATTATAGAATAATAACAGAATTTTCTAGTTCCTATCTGTTCCTTTATATTAGTTGTACTGACAAAATCTTTTGCCTGCACTCTTTGATTCATTGACTCATTGACATGTTTAACAAATCATTTATTCTAAAACAAATTTCACTAAATAAACAAAATAATGTTTGTATCAACAACATATTTCTATTACGATATTGCGGTTGCCGTGTAGGCTTATTGGTATATTTATTTTATTGAACAAAGCAAATTAACTTATATCTAAAAGTGACCGAATGTATTTGCCTTTTTAATAGATATGCAGTGATAATTAAGCCGTATATAAAAAGACAGCTTAAATAAGCTAAGCCCAAAACTAACAGACTTTGTACGGCTACGTACGACGAAGTCCCCAAACGTGGGCATGTATGTGATATGCAATTCCAAAACAAGGCTATAAGGATGAAACCATGCATAGCTGTAAAAGTGCTAACTTTATTGCTGTTTAGGCTTCGAACTAAACGTTGACAGAAAATTGGCCGACCCTCAAGTACTGTATTGACTTATCTGTTTATTCCCGGTGGGGAAAATGCGGCTGGAGAGTTAGTTTCGGTTTCGCCCTATGCATTGCATCATACAATTGTTTATTCAGTAGTGTTCGGGACAAACTGTTGTGCTAATACTAATACAAATACTAATGAACATGTTTGTGAGCGTGATTATTAATAGAGCAGAAATGAGTGAGTTGGACCTTATATGCATGATCCAGTGCCTCGAGTTCGGATTATAAAACAAATCTTTACTTTCGTATTCCTCGGAAAGTCCCATACTATATTTACTTACCCTTACAAATGTACCGCGGCCAATTACGTATCCATTGATATACATATGTCTAACAAATGCTGCAGAAATGGATAAATCCCGTGTTTTGCTTACGCATTTGGGACTGAAGACCGGTTAAGGTTTATGTCTGCTTCTGAGGAAATTGCACACTGACAGATTCAAGCGTGCATTTGTGTGTATGGGTGGGTGGGTGGGGGTGGGGGGGGGGGGTAGGGGGGTAGGGGTATAAAACAGATAAAGGTAAACTATGTAGAGCACATGGATAGGAAATAGTTTGGTTTTGTCTCGTTTCTCTCATTCATTATATATTCATTTTCAGGGAAATAGGGCCAGAAACTATGGTACGAACAAAAGATGACGAGTCCTCTCCTCAAAACCAATTACACTGAAAGACCCTTTCTCTGCGTAAATAGTGAACAAATAAATCCTATAACGCCCTCTTTATTACAAATACTGCTTTTTGAATCCATCAACTACCGATGCCTTATATTACCTCAGCTTTTCAATTCATAAAAATGATTATATGACACTACATGACATAATACACACATACCTTATAGAAAGTGAAAGTGAACTCCGTTTCACCGTGTACTGCACCTTGCCAAACAAACCTGTTGTTACATCAGACACAAACCCTACGTAACTTATTTATAATCACAATTCAGCCTCGGTTTGATTTGATTTGTACGGAGGCCTCGAAGGGCCACTCAATAATGTCACATGACTGTTAAGCTGGCTGCAGTGACTTGAAAATAACTACATGGAGCTTGTTTTTAAAAGTGGCTGTTGATCCAAAATTGGTCCAAAATTAAAAACCCAAAATAAGTCTAGTTCATTTCATTATAAACCCATAGCAGTCAACGTAAATTAAGTATTGGTCTAAAACATTCCCCATGCCTCATTTGTTATAAAACAGGCAAAGTGTTTCTTTAACTTAGTTTAATACCAATTTGTCTTTTGACAAAGTGGACAAAAAGTATGGTCTTAAAGTTTAGACCAGTTTTTGGGCTTAAGTTCTTTTGTGAAAAAGGCCCCTGGTGACATCAAATGTATGACCTTGAGAAAAAAGAGTTTAGGTGACACCTATGCAAGTTCCTAATAAGTTCATGGCACATAAACCCCGACCGTTAAAGCCTTTAAAGTTTTGTAGACTTTCATAGCATTTTATTTCCTTTGCTTTGTAAACTAAATTTCAATCCAAAATTTGGTGATCCTTAATTGTGCTACATAAATGTACACCCGGTGACATTTATGGGCCTTCGTACCTGTAGCTGTTAACATCAGCTGATCTCGATCCTTCGAAGTCTGCGATACTTTAATCTCAAGGCTGAAGAAGTGTTAAAGGGTTGATTTTGACTTTCGTTTTTGCATTACTTAGAACATAATTATCAGAGGTAAGTTCCGTTCTAGTTGTTGGTATCACTCCAATGGCAGAACGGCAGCGAGGCATTTAAACACTTGCTTAAAGGTACTGATCAAAAGCACAAGAATAAAACATTTTTGAATTTTATATTTCTGATGAACATGGGTTTCAAGGCAAAGGGCAAACACTTACTTAAAGCCTGTTTGGGTTTTTTGTGGAATATTTTCATCATTTACTGATCTGGCTGCAATATTTTCTCAAAGATATAAAGCGGAACATATCCGAGGCGCAGAAAGTCAACTATCTTCATTGAACAAAAAGGATACGATTGGTTAAAAAACGTCATTTCTACACAAATATCCCAGTCACACTAAACACCTGTAGACTTGAAAATTCAAGCGGCAGTGTTACTGGACAATTTTGACTCAGTTTATAGAAATTCGGAGAAAAACATTACAGCAACCTTAGGGTGCTTTCCCAGAGATTTAGATCAATCTAGAGATTAAGATTTAGATCGACCTAACTCCCCGGGGATTCACGCTAAATTGCAGTCAGCCGAGCGGGCACCATAGTTAATTACCCCCTTACAGCTTTTAGTAGGCGGGACAGACGCTTAAGCCGGCCAAGCTGACAGTAATCTAGTGAGACTCCCCACAGGGATAGATCGATCTAAAAATCTACGGAAATGGGGTGTCAGAGCTGATTCCGAACATGCCTCAATTCTATCAATTTCATTTATGTGCTCAATCCCTCACATATTGAAAATTCAATAGACCATTTGTTTTTTGAATATCTCATATCGAATACGGATATTTAACCGGACAGAGATAGAGGAAAAAGGCGTGTACAGAAAGGAACAATTAATACACTGTCGGAGTTACTTATAAACGGCATCTTGTTGCGTTGTGGAAATGTGTATGTGACGCCTACTACATAACTCACGACTCAGAATCTGAAAATCTGACTAAAACCTGTTTTTAATGAAGGCACGCTCTCCGTGCAATCGAAGAACCTATAAATTGTTCTAGTCCTACACTATAGTAATTGAATATAAGTTGAAGAGTTCCCTGGCTCTAACAAAGTTTACAATTTGTGTGCGTGCCTTTTCCCCAGTTTTTTTTTTTTTTTTTTTTTTTCGAATTGCTGAATTGGGGAACTGCCAATAGTTGTTCTAACGACAAACCCTAATTCTACTAGATCTCCGGCTCAAACCATTGATGATAATATTTTATTATTATTATTATTATTTTTTTTTTTTTTTTTGTTAAAGAGATTTCCTTGCTAGATCTATACTTATGATTCTACATACATTCTCCAGTGGTTTGCAACATTGTCAACAACTGCTTTTAGTGTGTTGTTTCATTTCGTTCCATTTTAATGATTTGACATTTTGTTCACATTCTGCTTGTAGATGTACATAGCTACTTAATGTTATCCCGCTGATTTTTCAGTCTGCGTATATATATATCCCTAAGTTATATATATATATATATATCCCTAAGTTAATGCTTCAATAGTTCTATAGGACACATTGGGAAACTGATAAAAATGTATAGGAAATGTTTTATCGAGTTACCAATATCCTATAAAATAATGGGACTTTTTCCCTATAATACCCTAGTCCGATTTTATATGAGACATTAGCTTAAAGAAAGACAGTGGCTCTTGATTAGTTTGGTTCATTCAAAGTATAAGTTAGTTAACATTTAAATATTAAGGAAAAGGGATAAATAACGCGTCACATATAAGTTTTAATGATATATTTTGCGCCCATGGTTTGCCAAGATGTCGCGTAAATTGACCACGTACTAGCTACCTGCTGGAATGCAGTTACATTATCGTCGTGTGAAGATATGTGAAATAGACACCTTTTTGTGTAAATACTTCTCGGAAGGCCTATTTATGGGAAACAGGGTTAACCTATCTCATTATTCAAGCAAAGAAAGTGTGAATGTTTATTAAAAGTTAAACGAATTTGCAATTGTGTTTTAATACTGCATTGCTCAACAGTGCGTTGCTTTTTGTATGTGTTCGGTTCCGCTTTTATCTCGTTGCCTTGGGGATTGTGTTTAGCACACAACTGTTACTATGTGTTTTACATCCCTGATTACACCTGTTCTGAACTCACAATCAAGGCGCATAAATTACTCGATGGTACATGAATGCAGTCATCATCAGGAAAAAGTGTAATGATGCATTGTGGAATTTTATAACCGCCATTTTCACAGCATATTTTGTCGATTTTTCGCACATCATAAAAATATACTTGTATTTTGAGCCCATATGATATATTTAACCCTAAACAGATAATAATAATAATAATAATAATAATAATAATAATAATAATAATAATAATAATGTTCCTAATAATAAAAGAAATATTGATTTCCCTTCTGCATGCGAATCAATGGCAAAATTCGTGATAAGAGAAGGAGGCATAAATAAGGTGGAGTTGTGTTGAGTTTTAAAATCAAAAAGGGTAGAATATGTTTAAGACTTCATGTTAAAATGCTGAAGAATAAAACATGCACAAAGTTGTTTATTATCCGGAAATAATTTAAGTCTAATTTTGCTTGGTAAAAATATCAAAAGGGCATGAGCTGGGTGGAAACCGTCGCTTTTGACAGACACCGTTTTATATGCTACAGTCATGAGATATTTACACCCACCCGAAGTAAGGTATGTCCCAGTTAAGTCATCCGCCGTCTTGACTACTATCTTTTCCCATTAGTTTTTATCTTCTACAGTTGCATCCTCATGCTATATGATTAACGCAAGGATTAACGCTTTTTATAACACAATTGTAAAAGTTCGTTAAATGCACACACACACACGATTAAAACTTTCAATTTTCTTTAAACGAACACTCTCTGTCATGCCTTTTTCAATACTTTTTAGTGTTATCAGTCCGGTTAAGTCCACTTATCAACTGAACAACCAATAGCTAAAAACTTCAAACGTGTTTATCTGATCACAACCGCTAAGTTGGCATATTGAAATTTTTTCAGGTTTATTTAGGCGAAAGGTGGCTACATTTTTCAGATGACAGGCGTTGAAATAGAGCTAGAACCTCTGAGCGACCAACTCCGAGAAACTGGAAATGAAACTGTTCCTTCATTGGGTTCGGTTGCCGCAGCGGAAGATGTCGCCAACACCGAACCGGTTCCTCGACCCGATGGGGGCTGGGGTTGGCTCGTCGTGCTTGGTTCTTTCATGAATCACGTTGTAATAGACGGTACGGCTTTCTCAATTGGCGTCATCTATGTGGAGCTTATTGATTACTTTGGTGCCTCCACGGCCGATACGGCATGGATTGGGGCCATTCAGTATGCCGTATTAAGCTTGGCAGGTTAGTGCACAAGTTAAGGGAGAATAAACAGCGCAAATGCGATTTCGAATTTTAGAGACACGTATACACTAGAGATAAATTAAAATCGATTACCACCATATAAATACTATAAAACACCCTGCTTTAACATACAAAAAAATGAAGCAACAGAACTAGGTCACCTGGTACCCTGACTCAAGAGGAAAAGATGGGCTGTAGGTCATCAAATTAACGACAAAGTGCAGTAACGAAAGGTCTGCTGAACGTGTTGGGCTATTTAACAGACTTCCGTCGTTATGCTTCGGTGAGAACCGTAGGATGCATTAAAACGAGCAGCAAATGGTCTGGGATACATATGTTTAACCTTTCGTAGAAAAACGTCTGTTAAGATACTTCATGGTATGTTACCACTTCATAGGATAAGAATTACTACTTCATGATAGAAGGCGACTTCATTGGTTAAAAAATAAGGACCCTTAGGAGACTTCGTAGTATATTACCACTTCATGGTACATTGTTTCCAAACATGTTTCAGTTCTGGTTGGATGTGGAAATTAGGCGTAAAGGTCAATATGAAGTTTTATTCTAGACCATGATTTCCAGAGTGACGCGTGTATTTGAAACGGGGTGTGTGTGTGTGTGTGTGTGGGGGGGGGGGGGGGGGGGGAAGGAGTAACATTACTCAAGATAGTGCGTATTTTATCTCGTTGGAGAAGCTGTTATTTTCAGATGTTCTCGTAGATACCCGTGAGATTAACTTCTATAAATAATGTACTTAATTTCAAGAGCTCCGGTCCAGTGACGGAAAGCATAAAGCTAGTTTTTTGTTTTACCCATTTAGTTTTGAGATATTTCAGATTTCAGGACGAGTGAAAACTGACAATATTTGGACGTTGAATCATGGCAGGTCTAAGGCACTAGATGTATGAGACAAACGAAGTGTATAAGTAAACACATTGCCTGCCTT